ACCAAATACTGATAGACCATAGACACAGACACCATTAAAAACTGCAGGACCGGCGCCGAAAATGTTATTACTTTGACGGTCAAGGGGTCCCCGCGGCCTCACCACACCCCCACTGGTAGAACGGCCGCAGACGACCATTGAGCTAGAGGGCGCGCTACTCCTACAAACATTAAACAGTTGGGCTCCGATAATCTCCCTTGTTCCCAGGGAAACATCAACAAACGGACAACAAATCGTTTCCCCGATGGTAATCATGGATGGAGATGGGTGCAGCTAGTTCTAATATACATCAGGGGGAGGGGGGTGGGGGTAGCTCGTCAAGTTTTAAACAAACAACAAGCATAAACTGCTAAAAATCCCACTAAGTGGCTTTATCGCGATCATGAGCAGCTTCATGTGTTTGTAAAATAAACCACACGAATTTTGGTTAGAGAAAAAAAATAAGCCACATAAATTTTGGTCAAAGAAAACAAATAAACCACATAAATTTTGGTCAAAGAAAACAAATAAACCACATACATTTTGTTCAGATAAAACAAATAAACCACATATATTTTAGTCAAAGAAAACAAAAAAAACCACATAAATTTTGGTCAAAGAAAACAAATATACCACATAAATTTTGGTCAAAGAAAACAAATAAACCACATACATTTTGTTCAGATAAAACAAATAAACCACATACATTTTGGTCAGAGAAAACAAATAAACCACATAGATTTTGGTCAGAGAAAACAAATAAGCCACATAAATTTTGGTCAAAGAAAACAAATAAACGACATAGATTTTGGTCAAAGAAAACAAATAAACGACATAGATTTTGGTCAAAGAAAACAAATAAAGCACATAGATTTTGCTTAAAGTTTATATTTGCGAGTTGATAAAAAAATATCTATGCTCACAACACACGATGATTAAAACGAATGATTATTTGTCTTATTTTAAGTAAAGTAGATGATAATAGTTAACTTAAAAAGCCCTCTTTAAAGTCCACACCAAGACGAACAGTACTCGTTTTTGTTGAGTACAACGTTGATGGACGAAGCTATTTTTACGCGGGTATTTGGCCGTAATTTCAAATATAAATATAACTTCTCACTTAAACCTTCTTTCAGTCAATCAATTCTTTATCGATTCAATCACATGTATTGTGTATTCCGTGAAAAAAATGTGAAAAATGTGACTGTTGAGCTGGGTTAATCTTTGGAACGTTTGTTTAATTCGTGTCTTAGGACACAGTGTAAGGATGTTAGTTTAAGTAAACTTTGATAATTGGTTATCAAAATAATTAGTATGTCACTCCACATCGTAAAAAAAATTATTTCAAGAAATCCTAAAAATATGACTAAGTGCCCTGACGGTACTCACAAGTCCTCATGTAAACATTGATCTAATACAAAGACAATTTGAATGAAATTGAATAAATAGACGTTAAACACAATTACCTGACTATTGAAGATGCTAATAAAAAGTTTGGGCTTGAAAACTTGAATATTAAGGTAAAACGAAGGAAAGTTAAGAACACGTGTGAGATCTGTACAACTCAATTGTGAACTACCGATACAGAAAGAAATTGAAAATAGCGCCGCAGCGGTAATTTTCAAAAAAACATCAATCCGGCCAACTTCCGGATACTCATTATATCAATAAATTTAAAAATTCAACTTAGATTAAAAATGATACAGGCGCTTAATTAAAGTGGTACTTAGAAGTATCGTCTGTAGATAAAGGGTTAATATAACAGTTGAGGACAGTGTGTGTGTGTGCATGTTCGTGCGTCTGCGCGCACGTGAGTGTGTGTGTGTATGTGTGTGTGTGTCTACGGTCTCCCATCCCAATTACAGTATAAAGATGTTTGTTTGATCTAACAGTTGAGTACATTGGGATTAAATTAAAAGCGTGTGTGTATGTGTGTGTATGTGTCCACGGTATCCCGTCCAAAGTCGACATACAGCAGAACTCAATTCCCCCCCCCCTCTTATATGTGTGTACGTTACACACAGATGACCCCGACGAAATATGGTCATTATAAATTCGAGAGATATTTCCAGCCCAAGGTAAACAAATACCTGTAAATGTGTCAGAGCTATTCACGAATAGGTCGCGACTAAAACTAAAATAGCGACCAAATAGCGAAAGGTAGTTTTTTAAATGTAAGCATGTTTTGGTCGGTGGATTACAAACAGAAATCTTCAGGTTTCAAAACTGAAAAGCATTAGGTAAAAGATCAAAACTTCTCACATAACCTCTGGTTGCCGACCTAAACTATACCTTCTCCAACATAACTTCTGACTGTCGAACTAAACTATACCTTCTCCTACATAACTTCTGACTGTCGAACTAAACTATACCTTCTCCTACATAACTTCTGACTACCGACCTAAACTATACCTTCTCCTACATAACTTCTGACTGTCGAACTAAACTATACCTTCTCCTACATAACTTCTGACTTTCGAACTAAACTATTCCTTCTCCCGCATAACTTCTCTTTCTACCGACCTAAACTATACTTTCTCCCACATAACTTCTGACTGTCGAACTAAAATATACCTTCTCTGACTGCCGACCTAAACTATACCTTCTCCTACGTAACTTCTGACTGAAGATGATAAAAAACGTGTGAGATTATTTTTTTTTAAACTTGTAAGATTGTTTTTAAAAAAAAAAACTTGTATGACGTGAAATTTGTGAAAAACTTTAGACTAGAAAAACCTTTCAACGTAAACCTCGGAGCTGTAGGAAGATTTTCAGGCTTTAAAATCGAAAACAGCAATATAGCAAAACTGCCACGTTACTGTCACGTTACTGTCACGTTACTGTCACGATGCTACTACGTGTTACTGTCACGATACTACCGTGTCACTACGAAGCAACTGTCACGCAAACCGTGACGTTGCTTCTACGCTACAGTTTTGCTCACGAAAAAATAAAAAAAAAAATAAAAAAAACTGACGTGCTAATTGAATTAAATAGACTGCTCTTTACGACATACTAGGGGTTGAGCTAATTTTGCTTTTCAAGACAAACTCAATTAAGGAAGTATCCGAAAACATGTTTTAATCCTCAAAATACGATGTTAAAAATGTCTTCACTTGGCCCGTTGTATCGAGGCGTTAAGACTGGGATATAATGCTATCAAAAGAAATGCTCATTAACACCCGTCCAATACTTTGAAATAGTATAAACGAATAAAGCAGGCGATGTAAAGGAGAATTAGACATTATACCTCTAATTATCTTACGTTTACTTTTGGTTTTTTAATTATCCAGAATCTCTTTAAAAATGGGGCAAGTCTCGCTCAGTTTTTTAGCTCGACATTTTTCCAACAGCTCGACGGAAATGTTACATCACTTTATAAGCTCTGCTTTATGGCGCCTTCAAAAACACCGTGGGCGTTAAAAAATGGCGGGCTAAATTTTGGCATTCTTTTGATGTCAAGTTTAAAGAACAAAACACAGGGGGTGGTTCTTTGGGGCCGTGCTTTCAATTCTGGCAGAAATCAGAGGAGCCGTTAGTTAGTCGGGTTTTGGTTGACTGGTCTAGAACCTTCTTCACGCTTGGCTGGGCAATCGTGGGGGAGGGGCAGATCTTAGTGTCAAAGGGCAGATGATAGGATTACTGGGCAGATGATAGGATTACTGGGCAGGTGATAGGATTAGTGGGCAGATGATAGGATTACTGGGCAGATGATAGGATTACTGGGCAGATGATAGGATTACTGGGCAGATGATAGGATTACTGGGCAGATGATAGGATTACTGGGCAGATGATAGGATTACTGGGCAGATGATAGGATTACTGGGCAGATGATAGGATTACTGGGCAGATGATAGGATTACTGGGCAGATGATAGGATTACTGGGCAGATGATAGGATTACTGGGCAGATGATAGGATTACTGGGCAGATGATAGGATTACTGGGCAGAAGATTGAGTAGAGGGCAGTCTAACCGCAGGAGGTAGTGTGTGATCACGTGATCTGTGATAATTGAGTGTAACTGTGACAGCGCTATCGACGGCAAATAATTTTGTTTATAGTTCTACGTCAAGTTGTTTACTTCAAGTTCGGTGTAACTACCTAGTGTTTACTTCAAATTCGGTGTAACTACCTAGTGTTTACTTCAAGCTAGATTAAGAGATTGTTAATGTTAAATCGAAGACAAAGTGGGTATACGGATGACGGAAGGAAAGGCGGAAGTGCGAAAGTGCGAAATGACATTGGTGGCTTGTATTATAGACTAGCAAGTACCCGTGCTACGCTACGGTAATAGAAAGGGCTCAACGCTCTTCGGATGTCCTTGTGTATTCGTCGCATGGGTGTGGATATGGATATTCCCGCAGAGCACCGAGGTCCCTACATTGGTGTGGATATTCCGTCAGCGAACCGCGCTGTCTGTCTGTCGTCATAGATCGAAACGGGCGAGCGAAAGTTCGGGCACTTCTTACCGATCAATTGCTCTGAAATTTTACTTAATAGGATGCCTGATTAATTTTTTTATGAATGAATAACATTTTTCTGAAACTAGTGGGCTGTCCTACTACTCTTTCAGCATTATTATCATGTTCATTTGGCGCGCAGTAGTTTTTCGCCACGCAACTCTATTGTAAATAAAAAAAATTAAAGTACCAAAAAAAAAATTGCATAAAAATATTTTAATAACAAACTTTTATGTAATAAAAATATATAATAATACACTACTGTTTATATAACTATAAAGAAAAGTGTAAGTCTCTTCCTAAATATTAGTAAAGGTATCCAATTGATAATATAGTAACCCACGCTTTTCTTTATAGTTATTCAAATATTATTATTATTATAATATATATATATATTTAAAGAAAATTTATTTTCTCCTTTTTAGTGCATTATTACATATGAGCTTGTTATTAAAACGTTTTCTGCAATTTTTAAAAAGATAATATTGAAACATTATATGATTTTTATTAAAAGTAATTTTAAATTTTTATAAACCATTTATTTTTTTCTTCAGCCTGTCCAATAGACACGAGCGAGCATACGACGGCTGATTGTAGCGACAAGCCATCAATTGTATGCCAATGTTTGAAACCGTGATGGCGACGCAAGGATAAGAAAATAATAACTCCAATATAGAAAGAAACAAACTGAGGCCACGGAAACACACGGCGAAAAATGTTCGGATGGTGAGGCTTTTCATATGAAACCGTTTGGAGCTGTGATATTACTGCAGGACGAGTTAGAGAAGCTGAAGTAGAGTAGAGCTGAAACTAGGGAATGAGTGTTACAAATATTTCAACACAGTAAATTTTTTATTTCCCCGTTTCTTCTCAATTGGTATATGACACATGTCAGATGTCAAAACTCTGTGCTATGACATTTCGTGTGTTGCGGCCTTGAACTTTACTGAGATTCGATTAAATATTTAATTAGACACATCAAAAAATAATCAACAAACATTCTTGCTTGTTTGAAACCGGGTAGCTAGCGAATGGCAACTACTGCAGACTTTTTGAAATCTGAGGGCAGAATGTTCGGGTTCTCTCCCATCTCTCGCGGGTTGGAAGGTCAAGGTCTCGGCGGTCACCTGTCGCACCCTGATGACATGATGTCACAATCCCAGAGGATCATGGACGTCAATCAACGGATGAACGGCTACTCTATAGACGGGATACTTGGGCACGGACGGCTGGGCCCCAACTCTCTCAAAGGTGGGTCTTGTACTTGTCTGTGGTGTCCAACTCTCTCAAAGGTGGGTCTTGTACTTGTCTGTGGTGTCCAACTCTCTCAAAGGTGGGTCTTGTACTTGTCTGTGGTGTCCAACTCTCTCAAAGGTGGGTCTTGTACTTGTCTGTGGTGTCCAACTCTCTCAAAGGTGGATCTTGTACTTGTCTGTGGTGTCCAACTCTCTCAAAGGTGGGTCTTGTACTTGTCTGTGGTGTCCAACTCTCTCAAAGGTGGGTCTTGTACTTGTCTGTGGTGTCCAACTCTCTCAAAGGTGGGTCTTGTACTTGTCTGTGTTGGGTCCAACGCTCTGTCTGCTTGAATTCGTTTTGTTGCACCCAGCTCCTTTTTGTGATTTGATAAATTCAGGAAAAATATCGCCAGTTCTAGCCAACTAACAATACCGAGCTTGAAGTCGGTACATTTTTGGACCTTGAATCGTGTTTAAAAGGTCTTTAGAACAGACAACAGATTCAACAGATATAAGGACAACAACACCGGATGTAACTACATACACATACATCAGGGCTTTTGATTATTCTAAAAAATATATATGTAACTTCATAAACTTTTTCTTTGGGACTAAACCAAATATCTATAAATTCTCCTCTTTGAAAAAAAATCAACGCATGTTGATTAATATTCAAGGAAATTACTACGTATCATTATTTTATCTATTTGTGAATGTATCATTATTTGCTGTTGTTTATGATAATATTTACATATAACACTTTGAATACAGACATAACACGAGCTTTCATTTGTATACGAATACGTTTCTTTATAAGTCGACTAAAAACATGCATGACAGAAATATTGCTACCGTACATGACAGAAATATTGCTACCCTGCTACCCTTCTCTCAACACCATTATCGGACACAATTATGATTAGAATTAGCCTGCCCAATGGTCAGTGGCTGCAGCGTGATTGGATCCTAATGACAATAAGTTATTAGTTGTCGGATGCCGGCTCGCCTGTGGACGTTATCACACTTCATTGCCTCCCCCTAACTCGGCCTATCGTTTCGTAACTCGGCGCTCCAACATCCGCGGAAGCGCCCTCTGTAATCAACCCGCGCCCCATCAACCCGCGTTGATACCCATTAATTCGAGAGAGTTCTCCAACCTAGCGTCATCGGCCCGGGGTTTATCGGCCCGAACAAGATAAGCTTTCTGGGAATTTCGGTAACCTGCGGCCCTCGCTCAGGCGGCGGAAATGACGTGCCGACGGAGTCACGGCTAGAGTAATGGCTCTTGCCCAGGGAGCGCTGCTTTCAACTTGTGACAAGCAATCTTTTGTTGCCTGGCCCCCCGGGGTGCGACTATCTAGCGCTCCTCTGGGAAGCTGGAGTGAAGAGGAGCTATTTACGTCGTACTTGAGAGACCGTTTTAAACGTTATTGAAAAATACACCCATAAAATATTGATATGCCCATAGTGTTAGCTTACTGGATAGATAGCGTTGCATCAACAATATTGGTTGTCAGAATTGATTGAAATAAATCAATCAGAAACTGAAACAACATATTTATTTCATCTGACGTTTAATACTTCCAAGTTTATTTCTAATAAACAAAAGTGACATTTTTGAGACGCCTTTCATACGTCGTCGTTTTGCTGAACAGTTGTATTGCCGTTGACATTTTCTGACTAGTTCGTTTTGCCGCCGACAGCTCACCGAATAGTTCGTTTTGCCGTTGACTGTTTCCGTCTATTTCATTTCACCGCCGACAGTTTCTGACTAGATCGTATTGCCGTCGACAGTTTCTAACTAGACCCTATTGCCGTCGACATTTGCCGACGGATTGCTTGCTACGATTATCGAACATCACCGGCATACAAACCCACATCACATAGGCTTGTCTGACCTCCCAACATAAACTGGTGACTTCTTGCGTAGAATTATCTACCGTCATCACATACAACACTACTGCCGTAGAATTATCTAACATCCACATACAACACTACTGCCGTAGAATTATCTTACATCCACATACAACACTACTTGCGTAGAATTATCTACCGTCATCACATACAACACTACTTGCGTAGAATTATCTACCGTCATCACATACAACACTACTTGCGTAGAATTATCTAACATCCACATACAACACTACTTGCGTAGAATTATCTAACATCCACATACAACACTACTTGCGTAGAATTATCTAACATCCACATACAACACTACTTGCGTAGAATTATCTAACATCCACATACAACACTACTTGCGTAGAATTATCTAACATCCACATACAACACTACTTGCGTAGAATTATCTAACATCCACATACAACACTACTTGCGTAGAATTATCTAACATCCACATACAACACTACTTGCGTAGAATTATCTAACATCCACATACAACACTACTTGCGTAGAATTATCTACCGTCATCACATACAACACTACTTGCGTAGAATTATCTACCGTCATCCACATACAACACTACTTGCGTAGAATTATCTACCGTCATCACATACAACACTACTTGCGTAGAATTATCTAACATCCACATACAACACTACTTGCGTAGAATTATCTACCGTCATCACATACAACACTACTTGCGTAGAATTATCTACCGTCATCACATACAACACTACTTGCGTAGAATTATCTACCGTCATCCACATACAACACTACTGACGTAGAATTATCTAACATCCACATACATCACTACTTGCGTAGAATTATCTAACATCCACATACAACACTACTTGTGTAGAATTATCTAACATCCACATACAACACTACTGACGTAGAATTATCTTACATCCACATACAACACTACTTGCGTAGAATTATCTAACATCCACATACAACACTACTTGTGTAGAATTATCTAACATCCACATACAACACTACTGACGTAGAATTATCTTACATCCACATACAACACTACTTGTGTAGAATTATCTACCGTCATCACATACAACACTACTTGCGTAGAATTATCTACCGTCATCCACATACAACACTACTTGCGTAGAATTATCTTACATCCACATACAACACTACTTGCGTAGAATTATCTACCGTCATCACATACAACACTACTTGCGTAGAATTATCTAACATCCACATACAACACTACTTGCGTAGAATTATCTAACATCCACATACAACACTACTTGTGTAGAATTATTTTACGTCATCCACATACAACAATACTGACGCCTCATACAGAAGTTAATATAAAACTAAGAATTCAAGTCTAGAACCCACTGTCTAAAAATAGAGAGAAAACAATTGAGCACAGCGCAATGTTCTGGCACCAACAGAACAGCACGCTGGTCCCTGGCCCTAATTGTTGGGGCCAACATACACCATATGGCATCTTAAAATTCTCCTACCATAATTATGTTTTATTAATGAAATAAATTAAAACTACAACGTAATAGAATGTCCGGCATATTCCAAATAATGTGGGGTTTGTCACATTGCCACCAGTATTAAAATTTTATATCGACCCTTTAGCTTTGTAAGACAAAGTTTCATTGGCAATTATTTATTCAAGATCTTCCCCCCTCCCCCATATTCAATATGCCCAACTTTTCTTCCATTAAATATTTTTTTACACTAGTTGGCTAATTTGTTTTCATTTAAATTATCCAACAACTTAGCTACCAAAAAAATATTCCCTTCACATTTTGTTAAGTAAACGAAAATAATAATAACATCAACTACGTGAAATGTGTAGAAAAGTCTTACAAAAACCACACATCACATGTTTATAGGCCCACATGTTGCAATCACACTGTTGATGATTTTAAAATTATTAATTGCCATTTTGAGAATTTTCTTGTGAAATACCAATGGCCTATGGTTAACATGGAGAATTTAAACAAGACAAAAAAATAAATAAAGCCAATTACGTTTTTTTTTACAATTTCAAAATCTCAGATTTTTAAAACTCACAATATACGGTAAATCGCCAGCATTTAACCATGATACGTTTTAATTAATTCAAGCAATATCTGCTACGTTTGATTTCAACCAAGTTAACATGTGATTTTATAAGCTGTGTAGGTTATTTACAACAATAATATTATTTTTCAAAAATATAAAGAAGCGTTTGAATGTTAAGTATAATATAATTAGCATTAGCATGTTAAGTAAATATAATTAAACCTTTTTGTTAAACGGTTGCAGTTGACTGAAAATAAAGTCACGTGACTTGGGCCTCAGCAACATCTCCTCTCATGATCTGTCGTGTAGGACGTCATGGCTTAGCAGCATTTGTTTTCTAAATGTCAAAATGGGCGAAATATGTACTCACTCATTTAGTACTCCCTCCCTCGCTTGGGCCATCGTCAAACCCCAATCTACCTTCTACCCCCAACCCAAAGGTACCGAGTCACTGAAAAACTCTATCATAACGAAGGCGTTCTTTGAAAGAAATTTAATGCATTACAACTAGAGCTAAATCTTCAGCTATAGGTAGATGGGGGGGGGGGGATTGTTGCTTTAGCTAAACCCTAGCTATAAGAGGATATTCATAGTATTGCAAAATCTCCAGCTATAAAGATAACAGTGTTGATATAGCTAAACCTTCAGACATATGATGGGTAGGTTGCAATAAAGCTATGTTGTTCATCTAAAACATATCCATATAATTAAGAGGAAAAAAACAATAACTTAAAAAAACTCTGATGAAAAAAGCTCTAAAAGTGGTATAATGGCTCGGCAGACGGCTTCAGGGGGTGGGGGTATCGTTTGATCAGACCAGACGAGAGCTAGATGGATGCGCGCGCTGATTGGCCGTGAGCACGTGTTGGCTTTGAGCTTATTCTTTATTACCTACAGATACATATATATGTACACGGCGGGGTGCGGCTATTATTTACAAATATATAGACCTATAGGCCTAATATATATATATATATATATATATATATATATATATATATATATATATATATATATATATATATATATATATGCACAAAGAGGTGGAGGTGGGAAGGAGGTAGATTGTGGTTAAATATTAGAGTAAAATGTTTAGAAGTTAACGGATATAACATTGAAAATTAATATATATATGTATATATATGCACAAAGAGGTGGAGGTGGGAAGGAGGTAGATTGTGGTTAAATATTAGAGTAAAATGTTTAGAAGTTAACGGATATAACATTGAAAATTAATGTACAGATACATTGAAGAACTGTGCGCTCTGCCTCTTTAAGAAATTTGTCTCAGTTGAAGCGTTACAAGTGGGTGTTTAATGTTCAAACAGCAATTAAGAATAAATTCCTTCATTATGTGATATTTAAATAGAAATATAATTAAGCTTGACAACGTTTATTTTTTGAACTTATTTTCTCCGAACACACTGTATAATATCTATGTCATAATTCTGGTGCTTTATTTATAAATACAACAGCAACATTTGTTATTTTTGTTGTGCCAATATTAAATTCTTTTTAGCTTAATTTAAACTGTAGTGTATCTTTAAATATGTTTTGTGATATTATCCGACATTTTGTGATAAGTTATGTGACATAGGCCTATTTGTATTTTAAATGAGGGCATAGACTCTGTAACACACATCACATTAACTTAGGTATTGCTGTTGTTTGTGTGATGAGTGTGTATGTGTGTAGAAATAAAACATGTATAGACTCCGTAACATACAGCACATTAACTTAGGTATTGCCGATATTCCCAGTTTTTAACCGACTACACTGTTAGTTATTGAAATGGAAAGGGTTTTTTAAACCCCAAATTTTAAAAGAACATTTAGTTATTAAATTAAAATAATTAGAAAAATTAGAAATATAAAAAGAAAAATATACAACAAATTAGGAAATAAAAGGTAACAGGTGATTGAATGACAGTGTCAATTTTCTAAAAGTAAGCAACTATCTAGTTTTGTGTGTATGTAGTTGTCGCTATTCAACCCACTACAGGCTAATTACCAGCTGAAGTGCTACAACTGAAACAATAGAAGAAGTAACATGTCTATAATTACGGCTTTACCCTTTCATTGGTTAAATAAGTGTTACCTACACCCTAGTCGTTGTATTTTTTTTATGAATTTTGGTTGTCATGACAACAGTTATCTCCTCATACACCGCATTAGTGACGTAATAAAAACACGTGACTTTATAACCGCCACTCGTGTAGGAGCTGAGTGCACGCTGGTAATTACAAATTAATTAAGCTATTAATGAAGTGATTTTCCTCCCTCGGTGAATTATGTGTTTAACGATGTAAGCGATGATTATTTAAAGGTGTGTATGTTTCAGTGTATGTTTGTGTATGTTTCAGTGTGTGTTTGTGTATGTTTCAGTGTGTGTTTGTGTATGTTTCAGTGTGTGTTTGTGTATGTTTCAGTGTGAGTGTATGTCTTGTCTCAAAAATGTCCTCTCTGATTTTGTCTGTGCAACGGCGTAAGAAGGAAGGAGGCATCCCCTCCCCCCTTCATAAACACAACTACCCCACCCCCACCCTCCAGGCGAAATGGGGAAAAATTTAATTTACTTAGAACCTATACACTTTAATAAGGGACTTTTTCGTTGCTCCACCTCCACCCCACTCCCGGAGATTTAAAGAGCACCCCTCCCAACTTGTCACTTGTCACACCAAGATATCCAGCTCAGCATGAATTTTGTGACACATTAGTTAGACTATCACATTTGTACTGGGCGGTAAAGTTAAAGCTCACTTTTTTCTTTCTTTGACTTGTTGACGGCGGAGCTTACTGCATGTTTTGTTTCTTGATAAGTTTACACTTGTTACAGCTAAACCAGGTACACAATTATTTCCCTGGAGAAAATAATTTCATGTACATTTTTGTTTCCATAGAAACATTAATTTCATTTACACTTTTGTTTCACTGGAAACATTAATTTCATGTAGACTTTTGTTTCCCCTTGAAAAAATTAACTTCATGTACACTTTTGTTTCCTTATAAAAATTAATTTCATGTACGCTTTTGTTTTCTCAGAAAATAATAATTTCATGTATACTTTTGTTTCTCTAGAAAAGATATTTTCGTGCACAATTTTGTTTCCCTAGAAAAATTAATTTCATGTACACTTTTGTTTTCTCAGAAAAAAATTAATTTCACGTACAATTTTGTTTCTCTAGAAAAAATTAATTTCATGTACACTTTTGTTTTCTCAGAGCTGGAAAACGTGTACGGCAATCCCATGAGTCCCAGTATCCACGGCAGCACCATGAGCCCCAGCGGCTACATCCACACCAACCACCACAACCAGATGAACCACCACCGACACCCCACCGCCGCCATCAGCCCCGTCAGCCTAAACGGCAACATGAACAAGCTGCGCCACAACGCCGACGGCAACAACCTCTACCAGCCATCTACGCCGACGGCAAGCCCCAACACGCCCAACGGCAACATGGTCGGCAACATGGGCGGCAACATGTCCGGATTAAACAACGGTTCCAGTAACGGACTTAAGTCGGAGAAACACAACCTGAACTCGCCCCCCACCAGTGATATCTCAGGGCACCACCACCTACAGCCCCTGCTCAACGTCTCGATGAAGAAAGAAAACGAGAACAAAAACGATAAAGGGCTGAACCAGAACAGCGCTAAGCTAATGGATAAGGAGAAGATGGACAACGACGACGATGTGGACGGTGATGACGAGACGGGCGAGGACGGAGAGCCGAAGAGGAAGAAGAGGAGGAACAGGACGACGTTCACGAGCTTCCAGCTGGAGGAGATGGAGAGGGTGTTCCAGAAGACACACTACCCAGACGTCTATGCCAGGGAGCAACTGGCGCTCAGGTGTAGTCTCACGGAGGCCAGGGTACAGGTCAGTTGTTTGATGTGGTACATGGGGGGGGGTGGAGTGGAGGCCAGGGTCCAGGTCAGTTGTTTGATGTGGTACATGGGGGGGGGGAGGTGGAGGCCAGGGTCCAGGTCAGTTGCTTCATGTGGTACATGGGAGGGGGGGGGGTGGAGTGGAGGCCAGGGTCCAGGTCAGTTGCTGCATGTGGTACATGGGGGGGGGGGGGGAGGCCAGGGTCCAGGTCAGTTGCTTCATGTGGTACATGGGGGGGTGGAGGTCAGTTGATGGGGGCAGGGTCCAGGTAAGTTGCTTGATGTGGTTCATTGAGGGGGGGGGGGGGGGTTTGAGGTATAGTCTCACGGAGGCCAGGGTGCAGGTCAGTTGCTTGATGTGGTACATGGGGGGGGGTGGAGGTCAGTTGATGGGGGCAGGGTCCAGGTCAGTTGCTTGATGTGGTTCATGGAGGGGGGGTGGAGGTCAGTTGATGGGGGCAGGGTCCAGGTCAGTTGCTTGATGTGGTTCATGGAGGGGGGGGGGTGGAGGTCAGTTGATGGGGGCAGGGTGCAGGTCAGTTGGTTGATCCGATTGACGGACGGACGGACCGGGGAGTGTCAAGTCGGTTCATGTGACTGATGAGGGGGGGGGGGGGGGAAGGCAGGTCAGTTGGGGTAAATATGGTTGAAGAGGGGGTGGCTGATCAATTGGCAGTTAGGTTGGACGCAAATTGTGGTAAAATCGGGTGGTACAGGGAGTGTCCAAATTTTTGGTTCGAATTATTTGGGGCGTTGGGGCTTCCAAACCTGGGCTTGAGTAGTGTTAAGTATGAAAGGGGGGGGGGGTGAAACATGTATCACTCCCACTTTAAAAAAAAACTGTAAGTCTAAATTTCAAAAGAACCTTCAGAAGTATTGAAGAGGTACATCAATCTGTCGTTAGTAGCTCAAGCTAGTGGACGGTAACCGTGCTCCAACCGGAAGATCAGACTCCAAGTAAAACTAGAAAGTGGGGTTTCGATACTTACCTACACAGAGAGACGAACGTTGTTTCGTGTAGGAAACGTGGCGTGTACAATAGTTTTAGAGAAACTTAAAGCTAATTTAATGTGTGGCTTGAAATAAAATAGTTGCATTTAATTTTTTTTTACAATACAGAAACATACAGTCATGAATTATATATTTAAAACTTCCATGGAAATAGATATTTTACTAACTAAATATTGTCGCCAAAATGAGAATGCTGTTGAGCTAATAAACGGACGAGAAAATGGCTCGCATAAAAATAAGTTGTATGTTCTAGTAAGTTGTATGTTCTAGTAAGTTATACGTTCTACACACTTACGGTGAGGAAATGTTTAAATGTTTGGGAAAATTTGACATTCAGTTTGTACACACAATGTATAGAGTTACTTGTTGGCTAATCAAACTGTTGTATTGCTCGGTTGGCTGCCTTGTAATATTATAAACGGGCAATCCTTTAGTATGAAATGGGTTATGGGTTGGACTGATATCTTTGGGTCGTGTTGGAATAGTTTAGTGGGTTGAGTTGTTTGATGTTTATTTAGATGGTTGTGTTATGCGTAATTTATTTAGAGGGTTGTGTGTAGTTTATTTAAAGGGTTGTTTAGAAGCTTTTGGTGCCGTATTTTTATGTAAGCAGCTACTGTGTGGTGATATTATGAGGCTGTAGGATATTATGTAAGCAATTATGAAGTGAATTAGGCATCGTGCTACAGTAGGTTTTGGTTCATTTGTTACATAATGCCGGAATATGCGATGTGACTGTATTAATACTTTTGACTGTTTGAATTCTTACACGTGAGTGTGTCTATTGTTACTTTTGACTGTTTATGGTTACTTATGACTGGGCATTTGTTACTTATGACCGCCTGTATTGTTACATGTGAACGTTACTTATTGTTACTGTGACAAGGGCTCTATTGTTGTAGACCACGTCTGCTGTACCCCGGCGTGTCGACGAGACGGTATGTCAGCCATCTCCCCCATGGGGCGACGCCGCTGTGAGCGACTGGGCCTCCAGCTCCGCAGCCAATGCTCGCATGTCTAGGGAGAGTTGCAGAGAGTAAGTGAATGGCGCCATCATTGTATTCTCTACATTCCCCGGGTAGTTGAGCCGGCGATGTAACGATTTGAAGTGATTCAAAAATAGGATAAAACAGAACAAGGCCGTCGAAATAGAACTACTTTCTATCTTTAGCTAACAACAGTTGCGGTTTTGATATATTCGTTAGCAGCCTCCGTTCATCGCTGCAAACGTGATATATATATATATATATATATATATATATATATATATATATATATATATATATATATATATATATATATCCCGCTGTTCGTTTCCAAATGTTCTGATCGTTTAGCTTGTCAGTCTATACATGGGCCTGAAACAAAACATACAATGAAAATAACAGTGACAAGTGACGATGTAAATTATATTAAAATGCCGGTGTTTTTCTTTACCAATCCGAGATCTGCGGCACTTTCAACAAGTTCTCCATCCCGTGTTTTATTACAAGCTCTTAACTTGCTTCCTACGTCGGCTGTGCTTTGTCCATCCGTCCGTTATAGGTCAAAACTTGCGAACGAAATGTCCGCACCTTCTACCAAATGATTCGCCTTGAACTTGACCCCTATGTCCAGATGCTAGGACACTGCAGAGTGACATGAACTTTGACCCATTTATCTGTTGCATTTTATTTTAATTAATTAAAATATGCTATAAACGATACTAATAGAGTCACGATTTTAAACGCGCGAATATAGTGCCTTGAATTGGTGATGTATTTTAGTCAAGCTATTTTTTGTTAACACTAAATTTTTATAAATAATTATATTTAAAGGTTTATTACAATAAACTTTTGTTTTTCCACTAAAATTAAGAATCTATAAGAGCTATATTTAGATATAATGGTGGGCCACTATTTATATAAACCTAAATAAGAAGAAAGGGTAGCTCATAACATTAGTATTCAGTTGCAAACAAATATCATGACTAGCGCTTCCAGCTTTTTTCGAGTACCCGTGTATTTATATATCAGTAGACTTTATTACCTCGGTACGATGCTTGTAACAAAAAATCGTTTCTAAGCCTCCGTATATTTAGAGATGCCTAATCATTTTAAATACATAATTTATATACACCCACGCTTCTCGTTATAGTTATATACATAGTGGTACAGTATTAGATTAAAATAAAATCATTTTATCTCTATCTTTTGAATGTCAATAATTTTTCCCACTGATGTATTGCTTTTTTTTCAATTATAAATGAGAATTTTTTTAGATATAAAAATCAATCAAACATTTCTCACTCCTATGGTTTTTGAAACAATTTATAAACAAGATAGTTTATATCAATGAGCTCTATAATCCACACTATTTGCCCCACCAGTGATCTGTATTTATAACAGAAAAATATATTTCAAACTATACGGTATAATAATAAAATTAAAAAAAAACTAGATTATCGTAGATGTAAATAAGAATTAATTTCTTTTAATTAATACCAAGTACGCCTGATCTTTATATATTTATTGATGTAATCCACCCCTCTTTCCCCACCCCTGCCACCACATGTCCCCACCCCCACAGGTAAGCAGCAGTGGTCCCTTGTGCTGGTCACACCTTGCTAATGGAGTGACGTCACGGCAGACCGAGGACACGTGCTTCCTGTTATATAATTAGCACTGTTACTCATTTTCGACCAGGAACGGCAATCCGTGTCAGCATCTGTTTGTGATATCTAGCGAGTGGCTGCCCCTTTTAAGCTTACCTTGTCATATTTCTATTACACAACACTCGCATTAAACCATTAACCCCCTCCTTTCCCCCACCGATTATGTATTTAGTTATTATAGGTCTGATGAGAAATGTAAATAATTTCTCAAAACATCTTCAGTTCATCTCATGAAAATTCAATTTCGCGCTTACGGTTAATAAACACTTTTTAAAAACCGCCTTTCATTAAAGTTTGTTTCGTCTTTTTTTTAATAATCCACTATTTAGTAATCGAAATAAATAAATAAAATGGTCATATTTCATTATAAAGTAAGATGAATGGAAATGGCAGTCAACATGTATTACACTTAAGTTTTTTTTGTGTCTAGAAATGAAAGCGTGTTGAAGTTTAAAGTAATTCTTATTTAAAGCCGTTACAAAATGTTACAAACAACAGCATTAAGGGAGGCTTACCCATGATGCTCTGCTGTTGACGGTGCATATTTGTTTTTCTATTAGATCTGACGTTTTGTGCTCCGATTATGCTGAGCATGCGCAGCAGATGGGGCCGAGGGGATCAAAGGAATCGTCCAAACGAAACCAACAGCGTGATAGGACGCGATATTATCATCTTGATTAGAGTCAATTAACCACCCGGGTCTGCGTGGCGTGGTGGATGGAGCAGGGCTGGGTGGGGGCGTTCCTTCCTGGGGGTGGGGGAGGTGGAGCCGAGCAGAAGTGGTCTAGACATATAGCAGGGGTGGGGGGGGGGGGGGTTGTGAGTTGAGAAAGATACCGCCGCTTTATGGGGGTGTAATAGTTTTTGTTCATAGAGTTTATGGTTGGTGTAAAAGTTTTTGTTTAGAGAGTTTATGTAGGGTATACTAGTTTTTGTTTAGAGAGTTTATGTAGGGTGTAATCTCTTTTGCTTAGAGAGTTTATGTAGGATACATTAGCTTTTGTTTAGACATTTTATGTAGGGTATACTAGTTTTTGCTTACAGAGTTTATGTATGGTGTAATAGATTTTTTTGGAGAGTTTATGTAGGGTACACTAGTTTTTGTTTAGAAAGTTTATGTAGGTTATATTAGTTTTTGTTTAGACAGTTTATGTAGAGTGTAAGTTAAAACGCATTTTTAAAGTGATGCGAAATCCATTTAGAATTATTGATAAAAAATATAAATTTATATTAACGTTCGTAATGACTAGATATATCATACGATGCAGTAATATTATGTAATTAGATGATTTTCTAGAAATATAAGAATATTTCATTGTTTATACACA